AAATAGCATGTATGTTTTATTGCAATGATCCTAATTTTAGCAACAGTCTACAAAATTCATTTTCTTCCACGTCTGGAATTTAACTGTCGATGTTCATTTCAAGACATAAGCTTATGTGTACTTTGCATTCATTATAGATTAGTTAAACAGATATTGTTTGTAACCAACCACCTTATGCTTTCATATCTGCCATTAAAACATACATATAAACAATCCAAAGCTTTTAACAATAACAGACATTTGCAAATCCAAATACACGTCTCATGGTTAACGTAAAAGTTGTATTTTCCTATAATATAATATGAACATGGAAAACGATATTGGATACATGCAAGATTTGGGAGATATGACACCCCGTCATGAGCGACAAATGATACCCTGATGAGCAATAACGTGAGTAATTGAAACAGTGACATACAAAAACGAATCACTCTACTGTACCAAATGTACTTTTATATTTAAATTTTTTAAACTAAAAATTAAATATGATATAACTTATATTCCAACAATAATAAATTACAATAATGTTAATCAAATGCAATGAAGAAAATGACAAGTCAGACTCGACTTAAGGTTTCTCAAGCTTGAGCCTTTTGGGTTTGGACTTTTTCGGATCAAGACTTTTCGAGCTTATTTTTTGTTTGAGGTTTTTTTATGTTTAAATAATTACATAATAAGTTTCGAAATAAAATATATTTAAAATATAATATAGTAAACTTTGATTAAAATTTGTACGTATTGATCAATTTAAGTTTTATGAATCTCAATTAATTCAGTAAAAGTACTTCGTATAAGTGTTAATGATATATATATATGTTCAAGGTCGGCCCTGGGCCGAGGCAGGAGGGGTGCCCGCCCAGTGCCCATAATATTCAGTCAGCTCAACATATATGTTTTTGGCTCAGAAAATTTCAATTAATGCCTAATTTTCTCACTGAAAATTATATACATCAACTCATTTAATCAACATATAGACTACGTATATCTTTTATTTCATTTAAAATGATCAGATGATTTTGTTCTTGCGTATATCTTTTATTTTATTTAAAATGATTAGATGATTTTGTTCAAGCATATAATTTGATAAATTTATTTGTAATATGGGAATCACCTATGTGATCCAATAGAAAAACATTTGGCAGCAAATCACCATGAAAAAGAAAAGGTATAATGTCAAATAAGTCTCTAACGTTCGATTAGATAATCATTTTAATCTTTTTTTGAATCATTTTAAATCAACATTTTTTAAGATAAAAAACCTCTGAGATTTGACTAAATAGTCACTTGATTTTTTTTAATATGTTGGTACCTACTGTTTCATTTTAGAAAGAAAATATGTATTTTATAGCGCTGATAATTTGTTGACTAACGGTTTTCATCCATGGAGATATTTTTTTTACTCCAAAATAAACTATTAGATTAAGAAATGCTTAAATATGATATTTAATTTAAGAAATGCTTTTCCACGAGACAATCGTTTTACACTAAAATCAATGATTTTGCATTAGGAAATGATAGAAGACAATGTTTTTATAAGTATTTGTATACTTAAATATATATTTTTTACATTGCATTAAATTATTGTTTGTTTAATTTAATAAAAGAAATTCTAATATAAATTTTATATTACATATTTTATTTTATTTTTGAATTAGGGGCTTATTGTTATTTCGACTCGACCCAAAAAATAGTCAAGATTGGCCATGCGAGTTCATTTTCTGAAATGAAAGTGTTTTTCTAAGTTAAAGATTATTTTTTCTCATAAGTTAGAGATTACTTTTTTTCTCATAATAAATTAAGAGAAGCTTTTATAAGCTGCAATTGTTGAAAAATTACTTGAGGTTAACAATGTCACAATAAAGATTGAATGAGCTACCTATGTTATGTAATGAAAAAAATATGTTGAAAAATATTGATGTTGACGCTATGATTTTGTATAAAAAAATGCTCGAAGACAATGTTTTCTATAAATTTTTGTGTGCTTTAATTTTTTTTTTGACATTTTCTAGATGATAATTAATTACTATTTGTTTATTTCAATAAAAAATTAATATCAATTTTATACTATATATTTTTTATAATTTTTTAATATTAAGGGTCCATTTCTTTTATTTCGCCACGGGCCAAAAAATACCCAGAGCCGGCCCTGTATATGTTACATATATATGTTATGTATAATATATTCTTTTAAAAATATTTTTATAATTTTTGATAATTTATAAGTTATCGTTATAATAACCTACTATATATATTCAAAAAAATTTAATTTTTTTATAATAGTTTTTATATTTTTAATATGAATATTTAATTTTTAATAATTTAATTTTATTTTTAGTATTTTATATTTACTTTTTTGAATATTTGAATAATTTTAATATTCATAATTTGAAATATTTTTTATTTTTAAAATAATTAAATAAGCCCTTGATTTTTTAAAAAAATTAATTTGGCCATGGAACAAAATCAAAAAATTCAATTTAGTCTATATGTCACGTCTTCAGCTATAGTAGATTGTCATGTCAATACCGTGAACCACCACATTAGCACTGTAATAGATGACATAAAACGTCTGTCAAAAGATCACATTAAAAGAAAAATAATACGATAATCACATTGATTTTTTTTTAAGTACACATACTTGGGTGCCTTTTTGCAATTTTTTATCAAATCAAATTTAGAAAAGGATAATTACACCGTTCCTTACTTAACTTTATTCTCTCTCCTATTTTACTCACCCAACTTTCAATTTTCTATTTTGCTCACTGAACTTTACAAATTGAATTATTTTATTCATTTAACCGTTAAACTTGTCACAGCTGGATAATGTGACTTTTTTATTAATATATATATATATATGTATATATATTATTTATATTTAATTATGACATGTAATATTTAAAATAAAAATAAAAGTTCTCAAAATTTATTTCTAAACCCTAATCCCAAATTACAACTCCACCCACCCCATCCTCACCCTCCAACTCCCACCGTCTCACCCTCCTACCATCATTGTCTATCTCAACTGAAGCTTTCATTGTCACTTTTTCTTGTCATCGAAAAATACCTTCTGTAAACACCATTTATACACACTAAATTATATGCAAAATTATACTATTTATTAATAAAACATTAAAATATCAAAGTAAAATCGCATTGATGGGAAAGCAAAAATGCAGTTAAAACAAAGGAAAAGCTGAGAATATAAATAAAGAGGGGGCGCGAGAGGAGTGAGAGCAGCAGTTTAACAACGAACGGTAAGGACCAAAGAACAAAAAATCGAAAGATTTAACGTTAGATCTATGAAATTTAAGGGGATTTTAGGTTAAATGGATACTAGATTTGTGTTCAAGAGAAAAAGAGAGTTTGGTGGAAAAAAAATTGGGGTCTATTGGCTAGTGTCAATAACGGCTGACAGCGGTCGGCGTGGTGGTTGGCCTCGACGAACAGTGGTCGGAGTTCTACCATGTTGAGAGAAAATGAAAGAGATAAAAAGAAGAAAAGAAGAAAAATGAAGGAAATTTAACGGTAGAGTGATCATAACAAGAATAATACCAAAATTCAAGGAGCAAAATAAAACGAAAGTTAGATGAACAGAAGAGAGTAAATTACAGTGAGAAATAATGCAATTTATCCAACTCAAATTTCATTTTACCACCTAAAATACCATTATTGGCCAAAATGGCGAGAGCGAAGATTAAAAATCAGAAACTTTGAAAAACTAAAAACGACGGAAGGCTTGGATTGATATGATAAAACATGATTTACAAAATATGGAACATTTTTATCAAATCTCTTATTCCTTGAGCATCGAATTCTTTTCATGTTTTTTCCATGGCTTGTCCATTTCCATGCTTCTGGCCACCATGACCCCCAAGACTCTTGAATTTCTCAAACCCGCCGTGAAGCAAAAGCAAAATCTAAAGCCTGCAACTCCGAGCTTATAAACGCAAGGGAGACGTAGGTTCATGCACAATGACTCACGTCCTTGTACACCAAGAAGTAGAAAACCGTGGACAACACCACCGGAAGGTAAAGCAAGATTTTCTTGGTGAAAACTGCTTGATTTTCACACCCTTCTTCGAGAATGGTCTCTAATCTCGGAAAAGTCAAAGATTTTCTCGTCGAAACGAGACGTGCTGGTGCCACAGCACCCCAGTTTTGCTTGCATCCCATCTCTAAGGTTGATAACAAAAAAAAGTGGTTTTTGAGTCTTTGACTATGGGTTTTGGTGGTTACTTGAAGAAGAAAATTGACAAGGATATAGGAACTTGGGGTGTGGAGAGCTTGGAGGGCAAGGTAGGGTTTATATAGGAAGGGGATAAAGAAGTGCTTAAAATAAGGGAAAATGACAGACAAAAATGGCTGGAAGCTTGTTGGCAATAATTTAGACCAAAACAGACAAGAATATTTAAAGATGGAGGCTTAACCCACGTGACCAAACCATCTAGACATGGCTAATTCCCTGAGGAAGAGGCAACTGTGAAGACCAACCGGCTGAATTTCGGCCTATAAGTTATGGATAAGGATCAAGGGGAAGAAAATGGATTTTGTGAGTGAAATTATATGGTTAAGAGTTCATAGATATTGAGCCAATCCAACAACACGATGTTTGATTTGTTCCGTCTACAGTCCACATCGACGGGAAAGTCGGAAAACAGTACACTACGGACTGGTCTTTCAAAGTTTAAATGCGGTTTGAACGAAACAAAGGAAGTGGGACAGAGTCACATGCAGTGGATACAGTTGCATGTTCCACACGATGTGGTTAGTTCTGGTCTTTTTCAAAGGATATATACAAGAAAATATGACAGATCAGACAAATGAAACACAATCATGTTTTGGGATAAGGCTGCTGCCGACTTAAGACGAGTATAAAAAGGTGTTTTTTAACATTATTGTATGCAATGTAAAGTAAGATTCAAAGAGAAGTTATCCATTTTGCATTGATTTATCACAACACATAGTAACCGTCATGAAAATATTCTTTTGTTCAGCTATTTACATGTATAACAAGTTCGTTAATTCAGAACCGGAATAACCTAACCCTGTTACGGATTACAGTTCGAAATCACTCACCGATTTGGAGCTTAAAATGTCAGACGGAATTTCATCGGTTGAATCACCCGGAAAGGTTTTTCCTGGTCCATGGTAAATAACTCGTGTCTACATTAAGACCTGTGCAAACAGAAAGATTATTATCAGCAAAGCATCATAAGATATTTCCAGAAATCTGAAAAATAAGGGCATGTTAACAATTTGGTAACTGAAAAAGAATGGTTCTTAATAATTAGTCTTTTGATGGAAGTGAAGAGACTTAAAGTTGTTCATTACCAATTGAAGTTTTACCTCGGAGAACGTAGATGTAGGAGCATGAAAACAATGGCAACGGTAAGCGAAGAAGAACCGACAAAGACGTACGCAAGACCAAGGAAGTCGTTCTTTCCCCCCAACCAGTTTGATGTTGAAAGAACAAGCTTCTTTTTACCTCCAAAACTGTAAGTGTTGTAGTTGTTCATTAGCTGGACAACTACATAATCACCCACATCTAAATCCTCTTCAATTCTCCCATACAATTTTCGGAAGCTAGGGAGCGCAGATATACGCATCCATACGATAAGATCCTCCTGATCGCTTAGCTATAATGCATTCATTCACCAGTACCAAAAGAAAGCGCAAGAAAAACAAAAACCAAAAGATTATTTCTCAAGCTTTAGCAAATTCATAAACTGAAAAAACTGGTTATTGCAAGATATTGGAATCAGGTATTTTGAGTAATGAAATCAGAAACACCGCTATATAATGTCTCCAGATAGAGGAAGTACTTACCGGAATTCTCGGGTTCAGCTTTCCACCACCAATCCAAGTGCCATTTTGGAAATTGAAAGGGTATACATTCTTTCCAAACTTGTGATCCCGGTCGCTTTTCCAGGCAATGTTTGTCCTGTTGATCTTGAGTTTTTCTTTACCACGATTAAATGTAAATGTATCGTTAAATAAACTCCATGCTATCAACCCACAAGGAACTATAGGCTGATTATTGCTCGACTCTACAGGTTGACAGGAACTTGTGCCATGAGAGTTCCGTCCATGTAAGAGTTGCTGATCACTTCTGCTTCTGACGTACCTGGAAAAACGTTTAGACCAGTGAAGTGCAAACTGGAGAAACAATTAAATATAAATAAAAAATACAAAAGACTGCAAAATGTAGAAGGCAACAATCCCCTAAGAGTTCATTTAAACAATTTAATGGTAATACTTTCACCAGATAAGGGAAAAAAACAATTTAATGGAAATGGATCGTTTTATCATGTTGATCAAGGCAAAGATTTAAACCCATCAAGTGAAAGATTCCGCACCTTCGATGGTTCTGATAATAGTTATCAAGCTGATAGTAAATGTGAATAGGAGCTTTCATGTACTTGTCCACCTACAAAGAAATGTTAGATGCAAAAAAATGTTACCAAAAAACAATACAGCTTGCTAAAGACCTGTATTCTACTAAGAATAATGCACCTATACTGGCAGCTGAGTAGATGTTTCTCTCTGCATTCCAGAAATATATGATTTGACTTACAAAGGAAATAACAGGATAGGAAGAAATACTGTGACACAAATTTTCACTTTTCCCTGTAACAGACACTCAATTGCTGATAGTCTGTACTGCAGTGTAATGCGTCTTAATGACTGAGAAAGGATGGTTGAAGGTATAGCTTGGCCAGACATGGTTCGAAATGTATGAAACATTTGCATAGCAACTATACATGGAACTGACTATTCCAACTTAAGGTTAATATTTGAACACTTCAATAGGAACCAACTGGAAGACAGGGAAATGGTAACTCTAAACCAATTTGCTGGGTTCCTCCTCCGGATGGGTTCTTAAAGCTAAATGTTGATGGAGCGATGGAAAAGGGCTGGGATAAGGGAGGTATTGGTGGTCTGATTCGGGACAGCAAAGGCGTGTTGCTTCAATGGTTTTCAGAAAGAGTTGGGGGTGGTCCTCCAATCTTGGCAGAATTATTGGCGATTAAGAGGGGGTTATGTCTTCTGGAAGATTTAAGTTCTGTTCTTAATCAGAGGTTTATTCTTGAATCAGATTCAAGCAATGCTCTGAAGTGGATCAAGAATCCGGGTTTATGCACTCCTATGTTTCAATTATTGGTGAAGGATATAGTCTCTCTTATGGAAGGGAAGGATATCATTATTAGGCATATCTTGAGAGCTGCAAATTGGGAAGCTGACAAATTAGCTAAAGATGGGATAGGGTGATGTTTTGGTTTCTATCTGCTTGTGTTGAGGTGTAGGAAATTTTATTTCCTATGTTTAGCTGTTGTGTTTAAGTTTTATGTAATTCCTGGTGGTGTTAGCAGATGTTTAGGGTCTGCCTTTGTTGTACTATTGTTTCATCTAATAAATTTCTAGGCACTCTTTTTCTCCTTTCTTTGTCCTTCATGTTACTTACATAACATGGAGGGTGAAAAGGGGATTTTTAATGAGGCCTAATCTTCTATCAGAAAAAAAAAATAGGAACCAACTTAATGTTCATATCGTAATGCAGAAAGAACGTATCACCTTGAAGAGAAGAGAACAATTCTTGGGAATCGAGTCATTCTGGATATACGAAACCTTATCAACTCTATATTGTGTGGGTACACATTCTATGTCATACCGTTCGTCAATTTCAACAACCTATGAACCAAAGAAAAATGCTTATTCACAAGTATGTTCTAAATACATCAATGGATGCTCGGAAAAGATGTATAATATATAGCTACATGAGATGACAAGAGCCAAAGAATGGACAATTACACTATGAGAAGCTCGCAGAGTAAAAAGGCCAATGGGAACGAAAATGAAACCTATAAGAAAATATATCGTAATGACCTGCAGAAAAGAAGATGAACCCGTAAATAAAACTCGGTAATAATAAGCATTATTGGCACCTAACATCACAAAATGCAAGTTAAATATTAGCCAGAGATGAGTGAAGATTTTCAGGTACTAAAGAGTGTTGTCATGCTCTTACCCATGGTGGCGTAAGGACAGGTTTGCAGGCCGGAAGCCTTTGCTGAGTAAACATATAAAAAGCTGCAAAACAACCATTAGAAGACCACGATAATGATATTTATGAGGCAATATTCGATTGTAAGCAGCTTTGCTACTGGTTCTTTCATATAATGTAGTACTTCTAATCTGAAGCCAAACTTGCATTCAACCCTCTGCAATTAGCACAACAATTGATGCATAATGTCTTTCAAATGTGCTTTAACTTTAGCTTAATGATGATTATGGATAAACAATTCAAAAGAAAATACACCATCACTCCACCTGCTGCTCTCACTGCCACAACTCCCCAAGAAGAAAAGACTCGAGCATAATGCACAGAAGTAGAGAGACTAGCGCAGAGACAGCCACATCGATGAACAAATTTGCTTACAAATACTCATAGACAAATGCTAACAGTGCAGATAGTAAGTAAACATATGTAGAGAACAAATGAACTCGTATTTCGTATCAACTATGTTTATATGTCTTGACATGTACTTGGAGCATGAGCACATGAATGAAAGTTAGGTAAGCATGCATATCCTTCCCTCAGAATTCATGGAGCAAAAGCCTCAAATACCAAAAAGGAAACAAGAGTTAAAACAGACGGAAAACCTGAATCGCTGTCTCTGCGTCTGTGTCTATCACTATTAGTCTCCGACATTTCCGAACCTTCACGGTGGCGTTCGACAATCGCAATCCTTTCAGCAACCTTTGAAGGTCGAATTCCTACATAGAAACACAACAAAACACAGTAAATACAACCAAACCGAAATTCAAAGACCTCATTTCTAGGTGTTAATTGTTAAATGTAATAACTATTAAATTCGAATGGATATTAATCTTATCTTAGCTCCGAATCTAATAACTATTATTCTGAATTTCCCGGCAACCAAACAGAAGAGATCATAAAGTAACAAATAGTAATCTATAATAACTTCGTCAACCCTCAATCTAAAACTCCATCGTAAAAAGAAAGAATGAATAAATATAGAAAACTCTAATCCTATAAACTACATTATGTAAATTTCCTGTCCCTCTCATTTTCCTCATTAACCAAACAGGAAAAGAGAGAGAATCGTAACGAGAGAGACAACCTGCGAGAACTGGCGGCAATCTCGATAAGATACAAACGAATGAGCTTGAAAATAAGGAGGGAAGGTCGTATTAGGCGAAAATTGAAGCGAATTTTTCTTTATTCTTTAATTGAAGCGAAAGTGAAAAGATTGCTTCCATGAGGAAAACTGGAATTTTTTTATTCTACAAAATACGAATAGAAAGGAAAAAATGTGTGATTTCAACAATAACGAGGGAAAGCGATGATACAAAGCAAGCAACCCCAGAATATTAATAAATAAAATAAATGGAGGGTGAAGCCTCACTTTCTTTTTCAATGATCTTACATTATATTAATTAGTTCCTTTTAGTTTAGAAAACTTTGGGACACTTTCGAAAAATTCCAAATACGGATTTTGATCTTAAAATATGAATCTTGCTTGGAAAAATGATTAAAAAATTAAGTGGTACAAAAAGAAAAGATGATATTGGAGGGTAACTATTATATGTTAATGAGATGGCCATATAGCCGCCAAAAGCTCTCTGCAGTTAAAATGCTTTCCACTCAATGGCGTATTTATTGAAAAATCACTAATTTTTTTTATTTACGTATTAGATACCGTTAGAGAAAATATTACGGATCTAACATGCATCTTACGTTGATGTGACGTCACGTGTTAAAAGACGCGGCCCATGAACCACCCGGGACATTTTCCCCTCCAATTTCCCACACTTTCTGGCTACACAAACAAGGCTTTTCAGCTGCATCGTCTCATCTCTGTTAAATCTAAGGAACAAACAACGCCACCTCCCACAAATCCATGCGAGAACCCAACAATTTCTTCTCATCAGAACCCAAGATCACACCTTTATAACACAATGTTAAGAAATTTAATGACTTTGGGTGAATATAAAAGGACCCTGTTGGTTTATAAGAGCATGGTGGTGAAAAAAAAAATTCATGTACCCTGATGAGAACTTTTACCCTATTGTTCTGAGAGCTTGTTCTTGTTCGATGGAGCTGAGAAAGGGAAAATGGTTGCAGTTGGCAATACAGGGTTTTCGTTCATCTGAGGCTGTTGTTGATGCTTTGGTGTTGTTTTACAGGGGATTTAGTGAGTTGGAGCATAAGGTGTGTGATGGAAAACCTGTTAGGGATTTGTGTTATTGGAAAAGTTGGATTTCTGAAGCTTCTCAAAGTGGAAATATGCCCTCCATTATTAATTTCTTGGGGTCAAGGGTTGATGCTGCTTAAAATATCTAACATCCGTCGCAGTCTACTATTTTCATTGGAGAACTTAAATGAGAAGCTGCCATGCCTGAAGCCCTTCCAAAAGTTATTAGCATCATATACATGGGAAGTTGCCACCCTAAAGATTGGCCTTTTACCTCAGCTTCTAAAATTTGACACTTCATAATGGAAATTTAATAAGAATCTCAATTAAGTATTAAATGTAAATAAAATGATACAACTTTACCATTCGAAATCATGAACATAATCATCAGTTGTCAATCAAAAACAGGCGTTTTACAGCAAACATGAGAGAGCTCCTAAAACCCCATTCATATATTTCGAATTCGCTCACATAATTTATTATACTTCTGCTGCAGCGTCCTCTTCTTTAGGAGCACTCTTCCTGATCTTCAGAATGTCGATTCACAATAAATCAAGCAAGAGCTTCAAAATGTCCACAATTTCATGTCCTTTGAGCATTTTGAAACATAGAAAGTTACTATGAAGTGAAAGAACCACAAATAATGCAAATATTCACACACAAAATACAGCTAATATAGCCCGTGAGGTAAAATCGCATCAAAGAAATTCACAAAAGAATTTCGGGTTAGATTATCACATCATTTATACAGCACATGGAAACAATTAGAATGGTTAAATTGGTGGCAAATGAAATATATCAACATGGCCATAAGTTTACTAGACAGACAAGAAATTAAGTACACAAGAAAAAGTAGAATACTCACATTTGAGAGATGATCCGGCAAGACAAGTCAGCCGGGACTTTGTATTAGCCTCAGCCAATGGATTTGGCTTCTCCTTGACGGCCATTCGAACATCCCAAACACGTATAAGCCCATCGGATGATGCAGACGCTACTAAATATGGATCATCCTCACTACTACCATCTTTGGTAAGCACAACAATACCTTTTACACGGGTGGAATGTGAATCCTCGATGGAATAAGCAACCTTACCACTGTTAGTGTCCCATGCTGTAATATTACGGCTCTCACCACCAGTAAATAAAATTCCACTCTGGCAAAATCATAATTAGTCTTTAGAAAATCAAGTTCTGAATGACAAGAAAGCAAGAAATGCACATCATGGAATAAGTAGCATAAGAATATTTTAAGTAATCTGCCACAACAAATGGATCATATGAAGAATAATGACATCTAGAAGAACATCTTATCTTTGAAGCTAAACTATGCCCCATCAGAAATCACCTTGTTCAATCTTCTAAGGCGCTCAACCACTAAATAACACAAAGTACAGGCCTATTGATATGTAGTCGTAGATTTGTACCAAAAGATGGTTCAACTACATTGTGAATTACTCGACCTTGCAGCTCTGGACTTTTAGCTCTCTTCTTCTATCAAAACTTTATGCAGAACAGAACACCAATAAACTGTAATCATCACACAATTTACAATCCAACCTCCAACTAGGGATGGACAGGGGTGGGACGATCCCCTGAAAACTTCAAATTCTTATAAATTTTAGATATTTTCTTTGTATTTTCTATTATTAATATATTTTCATCCCTAAAAATTTTATAAATTCGCTCTCCCCTAAAATTTTATTTTATAAGTTCACCTTATCATAAAATCCTGAGTACTTCACTGTCTCCAACCATAACTTTCATGCCTAAAAAACTAGACATTTTAAAGCAACGAGTTCTCTACGAAAATTGCTTTATCTTCCTATATTTCCTCTAGAAACAAATGAAATAGCTATATTAAAATGTTACTTTACCATCAAAATTAAAAGAGAAACTAACCTCTCCAGGTGCAGCACAAAGAACTCGTTTCTCATTATCCAACTCGAACAACAACCTAGCATCTTCCGCCAAATGAGCACCAACTTTCCCCTCGGAAGCCATAAAAAACCTCTCTCCACTTCCATCAAACTTAATGATCGTCGCTTCTTTCCCCAGCCTACAACAGAAGCTCCTTTTCCCTCTCATCAAATTCGACATAGCCAAGCACCCATCACGTGAAACACTCAAAGCGAGCTTCCCAGAAGGATGGACGGCCAAATCATTGATGCCCTTTTTATGGGACCTAAAGGACTTGAGAAGAACAAAGGGTTCGGTGTCAAATATGGAGATTGTGCCATCGGCAGAGGCTGAGAGGAGATTGCGAGGGAAGGAGAGGCTTGGAGGGCAGTAGAAAGAGAGGGAAGTGATGGAGGAGTTGAAGTGGTGGAGAGGACCGAGGGAAGCGGCGGATGAGAGGTCGTAGATGTGGATGGTATCATCGGAAGAGCCGGATGCGGCGGCTGGGCCGGCGGCGGCTACGGTAGTTATGGGGGCGTTGTGGGATGGGTAAGAGAAGATTTGGGTAAGGGTGAGGGATTGAGAAGAAGGGTCGTGGGTTTGAGGTTTCAGTTTGAAACCCCAAATGAAACGTTCGTAGGAGCCTGCTATAAGGGACATGGCGGTGGCGGTGAAGAGATTGAAGAAAGGGTTCAGTTTGGGTTTAACAACTCAATAAATAACCAATAAAAAAAATTATAAGCATATATATATATGAAGGCCTAATTGAGAAAACATCCCCACACTGTGGTTTATATTCTAAATTGATATCAAATTTCAAAACATTTTAATTTAATCCTTAAAGTATCAATATTTTATCGATCAAATCATTCTTCCAATTTACTTGAAAAACGCAATAGTCCTAATGCTAAAAATTATTCACAAAATAATTATTTTTATTTTTTAAAATATCTTATTTTTAATATTTTATTTTATAATAAATATTTCTTGATTAGATGAGAATCGATAGTTAATTAATAGTCAACATTTATCATTAACAAATACATGTCACGTGTTTAAAATGACGACGTGACATATATAATAAATTTGAAATAATGGTGTCACACGTGTCATATATTTAAAATGATAAAACAATACATATCATATATCCAAAAGTAATAATGTGACACATCTAAAACATTTACTTTGCAAAATAATTAAATTAATCGATCGAATTAAATTAGATCTACCATACTAAAATGAAAAACAATATTTTTAAATTTTATTATTATCCTATTTATGTGATACATTAGGTTTTAAATCTGCATACATTAATTATATGTTTTTTAAATTTTGATATATATATATATATAATTCATTTTATACTATCGAGTGTTGGTACAAGTGGTTGAGATTAAGTAATTAATGTATATATATAATTCATTTTATATTTAAATTAATATTTAACGTCTAAATTGATAGATAAATTGAAGATAGACGAATATGATTGATATAATATGGATGCTGTGAAGATTTCATTAAAAGTATTATAGAGATAATGTTAGTAAAAGGGGAACTATAAATTATAAGGAATATTTTAAAAAAACAATTTTACTTTAAAATTTCTTATTTCGACATTCCAATTCTCTGTAACAGATATTCCCCAGGTGAAACAAGAAGCAGAGCATGGAGTCGCAAAAAACGTGGACTTTGCGATAATCCATAGAATCCTTAAACTGGGTTAAAAGTTGGTTTATTGTTCTGGGAATACCCAAAAACAATCCTCCAAGTCCCATGCCAAGAGCCAAGAGCCAAGAGCAGGAACAACCTTCTCCAGCCGCCGCCACCGAGTGGGATCGTCCGCCTCCATTCGATCCCAGTCGAAGTAACTCCTCTCTTCTCTGTTATTTTTGCTTTGTGGGTTTTTTTTGGTTCAAGGGTTTTGATCTCTGTGCTTAACGTTTTTCTTCTCTTTTTCTTTGTATTAAATCTGGGTTAGATAAGTTTTTCTTGTAATTTGTTGGAAAAGTTTTGAGTTCAATCCAAGGTGGTTTGTGATCACTTACGGATTGTGTTTATAGTACTTGAAATAGGTTTGATTTTTTTTTTTTTGTAGAAATCATTTGTCGGAGTAATGGTGCTCTCTGAATTGAATTAATTTCTATTGCTTTAACCTATATATTGATCTCTGTCTGCCTGGATTTTGGATGAGAGGGAAGGTTATGGCTTACAATGTTGCTTTGACTATTTGTTTTTGTTAAATTATGTGTCCAATGCATATTTAGACACGGGCATGGAGATACAATCTTCTAAGTATCTTTGAAATGGACTCGCACCTGAGTCCGACTAACATAAGGAAAAAGTTGAACCAAAATGTAAATTACAAACTGGTGACACGTTACATCATTAAATTTTAAACAACTGGTGATAAAATAGAACCAAAATATAATTATAGGTGTAATTTTGAAAAAAATAGTTAGATGATCAAAATAAAATTAAAATGATAGTTGAGTGACTAGATACGTAGTTTACGTAATTAATAAAGTAATCAACTTGGAATCAGCTGCATGTGCTTAGGAAGTTCATTTGAGAATGACCCACAACAATAATTGTTTTGAAAAAATATTTTTGAGAGAAACCTAAATCAATTTTTTTAGTTCACGGAACGTAAGATTATCGACAAGAATATGATTATCGGAATGTAATATTATCTAACATATTACTGGGAATGTTATATTATTGTGTTTGGTTCGTTTAACATGAATGTAACATTACCAAACACATTACTGAGAATGTTGTATTGTTGTGTTTGGTTCGTTTAGCATGAATATAAGATTACAATGTTTGGTTAAAGGAATAAATGATTATTGGAATGTATATTTTACCAAATTATCCTTATTATATATTTGTTTTTTAACAAGTTAAATTCTACTATAATTAATTTATATATTTTCTTTAAAAAAATTAAATTCATAAAATTTATATAATTTTTTTACAAAATTGAAAAGATAAATAGGTTTAATGAAAGGGTAAAATTTTATTTAACCCCTGGACTTCATATAAAATTCTAATTATGGATTTATTTTTTTGTAAATCTAAAATAGTTTAAGGATAAATTTGTAATTTAACTTTCGTATAATTTTTTTTATTCAACGACAGAAGAATGATATTTTTGAAAAAACAAATTAAGGGTATTTTAGTCCAAAATGTCGGAAATGTAACAATACCTAAGAAAATGAGGGGAATCACATTCCCGGTAATAAGCCTCCACATTACCACTGTTAGGAATAACTTATTACCGAGGTTGGGAATCTTTGCAATCCAAACGGGGAATCACATTCTATTCCCCCAGTAATCTCACATAATCTGATCCAAACGCCCCCTAAGTGCTTAAACTCTTTAATTTAGGATGAGAAATGACTTTCAACCCCAGTTATGTACAAGCAAAAAGCAAAAAGTCGTTTATGTATTTTTCATAATAAAATGTATTTAACAATAATTCAATTGTTGAATGGTCTATGCACCTTACATGGTTCCAAGCCAAGTAGGGCAAATGAAGAGACATAAAATTTCTTTATTTAAAAAAAGTTTGGATTATAAACTGATACCAAAATAATGAGACAAATAAAAAAAACAAGTACAGTTCAGGGGCCAAATTATGAATGAAACCTTGTTTTCCTTTCAAACAATTTCAACAACAATCAATATTTTATAATAAATATTGATGTTATGTTGATGACACATAACATCATATGACAATATTCATTTATTTTTATAACTTTTTTTTTCTTTCAATGAAAAATAAACCTAACATTCTATCAGCAGACAATTGTCCAAATATAAATGAATTCACACAGCCTTTTCTACTTTGATTAAAAGCCTCAAATTTGATTTTGGATTTCTGGTTCAGATGTAAGCCATTTTTGTTGTTGTGATGAGCATTATAAGAGACAAGGTACATGCGCGTGCCTTAAAAAAATCAAATCTGATGGGACACAAACACATTGCTGCTGGAATTTGCTTCTCTTTGAAGCCAGAAACATATGCATATGTATATTTGCTGCCAAATCCGTATTGGTTTCACCTCTGCCAGGAACATCTAACATATTTGAAATTTTAAGTTTAGAGATAAATTTTAATTTTAAAAATTTTAAGATAAAGATATATCATCAATAAATTATACATGGTAAAAATTTAAATTTATAATAGTTTTAAAATTTTAAGGGAACGATCATCCCTACATGTCCCCTTCGATCTATCCCTACCTGTGCCTACCTTTGAAAGTGAATTGCATATTGTAAAATCTGTCTCAACATTCGTGGCCATGGGAAAGCTTGTTTTTTCTGGTTTAACTATTTATGAACTTGAACTTTGATTTTGAAGAGGGAAAAGAGAATGGATGAATTTGAGTAGATGATGAACAATTAAGGAAGATAGAAAGAGAGGTAATCTCTTTTTCTAACCTTACATGATGATTTATATGCATGTTCTCATTAATGATGTTAAGTTTAGGGTGATAGAAATTATTTATTGGTTAACATAATAAATAAATAAGACTTACCTGGTAATAGATTTAAATGATAGATCATGTATATCTACCTGTGGTTATATCAAGAGATCGTGACATACTGAAAGATATAAAACTCACGAAGTATTAAAGAAACCCAGAAACTTTGATGCTCGGTAAGAGCAGATGTGACTTGGGCAAGGATGGACTAAGGACTTGTGTTAGGGGAAGATTACATCTATTAAAATTTTAAATTTTCATGTAATTTAGATATTTCTTTTGTACTATGTTAAATTTTATATTCTTAAATTTTTAATATATTTCTTAATGGTGCGTTTGGTTCACGAAATGTAAGATTACCACTAGGAATAAAAGATTACCGGAGAATAAGATTACTGAGAATGTTGTATTTTGTGTTTGGTTCGATCAGCAGAATGTAATATTATCGTGTTTGGTTAAAAGAATAAAAGATTATTGAAATGTATATTTTACTAAATTATCCTTATTATATATTTGTTTTTTTAACAAGTTGAATTCTACTATAATATTACTATAATTAATATATATATTTTCTTTAAAAATTTTAAATTTTATAATTATATAATTTTTTTTACAAAATTGAAAAGATAAATAAGTTTAATGAAATGGTAAAATTTTATTTTAACCCCTGAACTTCATATAAAATTCTAATTATAGATTTTTTTATAAATCTAAAATAGTTTAAGGATAAATTTGTAATTTAACCTTCGTAGAATTTTTATTATTCAACGAAATAAGAAGGATATTTTGGAGGGGGGGAATTTAAGGGCATTTTAGTCCAAAACGCAGGTAATCCAATAATACTTAAGGGAATAGGGGTAATCACATTCCCAGTAATATACCCAAAAAAAATCCACTGTTGGGAATAAAAGATTATTGGGGAATAGGATTACTGACCAACCAAACGGGAGAATGACATTCTATTCCCCCGATAATCCCACATACCCCGAACCAAACACGCCCTAAAGGTTTTTATTCTTTACACAAAATTTTAAGTTCATTCTTAACTTGCGAAAGAATTTCAAAAGAGGTACACCAAAACTAGGATTAAACTATAAAATTTAAATATATTTTTAAAAATTCAAATAGATGATAAAAAATTATTGTTTCATAAAATGTGAATAAATTATTATTGTGAATTTAATTTAAAATAAATTGTGAAGTATAATATAAACCCCTAACAAAGTGGGGTCTTAATAGTAGTATATCTAAATCCTATCCTCGGAAAAAGGACGAAATCCCTAATTAACCAGCAATAGTTAATAATAGTTAAGACTAGGGATAGGCCTGGGTCAGGTTTCGGCCAACTCTACTCGACTCAAAAATTTTACTCGAAAAATATATATTCCACCTGATTTGAACCCGACCCGATTTTTATGATAAAATCCGAACCCGATCCGATCCGATTCAAAATAATAAAAAATATTATTTTTATTCAATAAAAATAAAGATTTAAATAAAAAAATGTATATATATATATTATAATTATTCATAAATATAAAGTAAAATTGTATTTTTTTGGTCGGATCAGATACTTTTAACCCTAAACCCGAATCTACTCGACCTGAACAACACCTTTAAAAAAACCTACCCGACTTGAACCAATTTTTTTTTTAAAATCCGACCTAATCAATTAGGATCGGATCAAAATCGGTCAGGTTTGAGTACCATGCTCATCCCTAGTTAAGAGTGATGTATCAGTATGCATATTAATCTTCTCCTGATCTCATCAAATTGAAAAAAAGAAGCGATACAAAAATTTCAAACTTTATACTATAAAATTCCACACTCGATTACCTGAAAAGTTTGTTTAAACACTCAAAGCTGACTGATTAATTAATGTGATATTTATAATAAAACCATCTAAATATGATGATTAAATTCTGACGGTTATTCAAACGTTTAAATGAATTCATTAAATAGGATGAAAAAACAATATCTTTTTTTTTATAAAAAATGTAGGTGATAGAAATTAAAGTAAATAAAATCAAAGATTTAATCGAATGAAAGTCAACGTTAAAATAAACAAAAACTGGAGCTCATTCAGCACAATCAATTTGCCGTTTATTATACGGAAGGGTATGCACCCATTTCTAGTAGCAACGAGAAGAAGACAAATTGGAATTTTAAAACATTTAATTATTAGTAAAAGAAAAAATAAAATCAACAAAAATCATAAGTCTAAAATGAGTTTGAGCCAAAAGTTAATCTTTGAATAAGTATTCAAAATCCATATTAAATGAATCCTGAATGCTTTTTTTTTGTAAAGAAGAAAAATATTTATTACTTTTTAAAATAAAAAAATTCTGTCATTTTTTAAATTGAAGAAGTGTTTAATTATGTGCTGAAAAAGTTCAATTCATTCAAAAATAATGATTTTAATGTTTGAAGATAATTTAAAATCACAATTATACGTAATAACACATGAGATTCATAAATAAAATAACATCCTTTTTAATTATTAAAATTCTTTAATAAATCCGAATAAAAGTGTATTAAATATATTCTTTAATAGCCAAAGACGATTATAATGTATTTGTGCATAGTTTTTCTTAATAATTAATAATATACATAGCCTTCCGACACTCAAAATCTCTAAATAAAACAACATTAACTTTAATAATTCATCAAAATACATTTAAATTAAATTTATATAAAAAGTTTAACAAAAAAATCAAATATTGTATAAGTTTATTATAAAAAAACGATCCCTCAACTTAATTTAATTTATTTATAATATTAGAATTTAAACTTTTATTTTTTTCATCTTATTAAACTAATAACTAGTTGATGGTATTTACGGATTATTTAATTATGCAGAAAAATAAATGTCTTAACAGATAAGAGAATAAATAAATTAAAGAGAAAAAGGGTCTTTCCCTGTTTATATAAGGTAATGAACTTGAGCAAACAGAAGACAAGGACGACTTTTGCTTTGAGAATCCCAATTTCATTCACATCTTCCCTGTGTTTGCCTTTCATCTTCTTTATCCTCTCATTGTTTTCTCTCTCTATTTTCTAGGAATATATATAACTCACTCCTCTTGGTCCAGTTGGAAAGAACTAGAACACTGTTAATTTTAATTATACACCAAGAAAAATTCATAGTGCCAAATATTTTCATCAAAAAGAAATGGAAGGAGTGGTACATACAGGCACTGATGCCTCAGCTTTCAGGGAGTGTTTCTCTTTGACATGGAAGAATCCTTATGTTCTTCGCCTTGCTTTCTCTGCTGGGATTGGTGGTCTTCTTTTCGGCTATGACACTGGTCCTTTTTCTTCATTTCCTTATCCTTAATCTCATGTCTGTTTTTTTTGTGTGTTTTTGGCTCTCAAAATGTCTTCTTGGTTGTTCCTTGTTGATGTTGCAGGCGTGATTTCTGGTGCCTTGCTTTATATCAGAGATGATTTCAAGTCTGTCGACCGACAGACTGTTTTACAGGTGCAATCTTTCCTAGTTCTTGTCTGAATTTTTCGGTGAATCCGTCGATTTTTGGACAATCATCTGTCTTTACTGCACCAGCAGCTACTCTGTTCTCTTAAAGTTGCTTACTTTTTGTGTTGGACCCTGAAATGGCTGACCTTTGCCTTGTTTTATCTGAAAATTGCTTGTTATATTGGTGAACTTGCACTTTTATTCAAGTTTCCAAGGAGGGAATTTGGCAAAAACATGTGTACACTTGCATGCAACAAGTAATGTACGAATTTGGGATAACTTACAGAATTTTAGGAGGGTATTAATAGAAAATATGAAGAAAATATGTAAAGTATATGATCATTTGAAATTTCCAGGGATACTGGTTCCTAAGCTGCTAAAGTTTTCTTTTACTGTATACATGTAAACAGGAGAGCATAGTGAGCATGGCAGTTGCTGGAGCCATCATAGGAGCTGCAATCGGAGGGTGGATGAATGACCGATTCGGACGGAGAACTGCAATCCTCATTGCTGATTTCCTGTTTTTTATCGGAGCTGTAGTTATGGCCTCAGCTCCTGGAGCTCCTCTCCTTATCGTTGGCCGAGTTTTCGTTGGACTTGGAGTCGGAATGGCATCAATGACATCTCCTCTTTACATCTCAGAATCGTCTCCTGCCAAAATCCGCGGTGCCCTTGTTAGCACCAACGGATTTCTTATCACTGGTGGCCAGTTCCTCTCCTACCTCATCAACTTGGCTTTTACTAAAGTAAGCTACCATAAGAACATATGGACAGATTATAAGGGAAATGTAGGATAAGTTGTTGAACTTTGATGGTGGTTTTGTTTTCTCCAGGCACCAGGGACATGGAGGTGGATGCTCGGAATTGCCGGTCTTCCAGCACTTCTGCAGTTCATTCTCATGTTGCTTCTTCCTGAATCACCCCGTTGGCTATACCGCAAGTTTCGTGACCATATTCCGAATACCCCAAAATGTTAATCCCATGTTCATTTATTCAGCCTTTTGATCGATTCCCTGTTGAAACAGGGAAGAGAAGAAGAAGCCAAAGTGATATTGAGGAAAATTTACCCAGCAGAAGATGTTGAAAAAGAAATTCAAGATTTGAAAGAATCGGTTGAGGCTGAAATCAAGGAAGAAGGATCTGCAAAAATAAATATCACGAAACTGTTGAAAACCAAAACAGTGAGGAGAGGGCTCATAGCCGGTGTCGGACTCCAAGTTTTCCAACAATTTGTCGGCATAAACACTGTCATGTATTACAGCCCCACCATAGTTCAATTAGCCGGTTTTGCCTCCAACCGAACAGCGCTTCTGCTTTCCCTCATCACCGCCGGCCTCAATGCCTTAGGCTCCATTGTAAGCATATACTTCATTGACAGAACCGGGAGGAAGAAGCTGCTACTAATCAGTTTGTTCGGAGTAGCAATTTCACTTGGTCTTCTAGCAGGAGTCTTCCATGAGACCACATCCCACGCTCCGATGATTAGCCAAGTTCAAACATCGCACTTTTCGAATTATACATGCCCCGATTACGGTTCAGCTAGAAACCCTGGCTCTTGGGATTGCATGAAGTGTTTGAAGGCTTCTTCTCCGAGTTGTGGATTCTGTGCTTCACCAACAAACAAGGTTAAAGTACATGATATTTCTATATTTTACAAGTCCCATATTTAATTTTCCCTTTATTGATTAGAATTTTGTTACTGCAGCTGCTGCCAGGAGCATGTCTGCTCTCAAATGACACAGTGAAAGATCTGTGCCATGGTGAAAGTAGGTTATGGTGCACAAGGGGATGTCCGAGCAATTTTGGATGGCTTGCGCTGATCGGTCTAGCTCTCTACATCATATTCTTCTCCCCCAGAATGGGAACTGCTCCATGGATAGTCAACTCCGAGATTTATCCTCTCAGGTTCAGAGGCATATGCGGCGGGATTGCTGCAACTGCTAACTGGATCTCAAACCTCATCGTGGCTCAATCGTTTTTATCGTTGACGGGAGCGATCGGGACTTCTTGGACATTCCTGATATTCGGGGTCATATCGGTGGTAGCTTTACTGTTCGTAATCGTCTACGTGCCGGAAACCAAGGGGCTGCCTATTGAGAAGATTGAGAAGATGTTGGAAACTCGAAGTTTGCACTTCAGGTTCTGGGAGAGAAGCCACAAATCACAAGAAAAGAGCCAAGCAGTGTGAATAAAATAGTCAAATCCTTAGGAGAAGAATGCTGAAATGAAAAAGAAAATACCAAACCCTGAAAATATTTAAACATTGCATTCAGCAAGAGTGGCATTAATTTGATAATGAAAAGCTGCTTTTGTTTTCTCTACAACCCGCCTTCTCTATAGGAAACAAAGCTGAAAAAGATAGAACCCTAATTTCAGTGTTTTGCAATCTCCATGCATGGTTATCCTCTTTAATGCTTTTATGAAGGATTCTTGCCTCAGACAATATGCTATGCCAGAGTTAGGTCTTTGGCAGATAACCCTTCTTGCCTTGAGCTTTGCTGTAATGATGTGCCTTTGAGCTGAGTGTAATCGAACTCGAAGGTCTTTGGCAGATAACCCTTCTTGCCTTGAGCTATGCTGCAAATGATGTGCTTTTGAGCTGAGTGTAATCGAACTCGAAGGTCTTGTGTTGACAGATAACCCTTCTAGCCTTAAGTTATGTTGCAAATGATATGCCTTTGAGCTGAGTGTAATCGAACTCGAAGGCTTTGGTGGACAGATAACCCTTCTCGCCTTGAGTTATGTTATAAATGATGTGCTTTTGAGTTGAGTGTAATCGAACTCGAAGGTCTTTTGTTGACATATAACCCTTATCGCCTTGAGTTATGCTGTAAATGGTGTGCCTTGGAGTTGAGTGTAATCGAACTCAAAGGTATTTTGTTGGAAGATAGCCCTTTTCGCCTTGAGCTATACCGCAAATGGAAAAAATAGTTTCTCTTAACAGGTCTAAGCCGGTCATAATTCTCAGGTGGTTCCCCTGAGCGGGTCTGAACCAGGTGAGATGATCTTTGAATGTCTCCCCTTCTACGGGAAAGTCTAGTGATAAATTCTAACAGCCGAATATCTTCTGTTGTGGAATTGAAATCTGGCTTGAAAACATTAACTGGAAACCTGCTACCCACCATCATTCTTTAAAGGTGCTTTTGAATTGAGTATCCTTCATCCTGAAGTCAAAACTTGACTCTAAAAGCTGCAAAAATCATGTATGCTAAAATGTTGAATGTGATGCTCTTAAGTATGTCTAAGATGCATGCAACATGAATGAGTTAGGTTTTATCTCTTGGATGGAGTCTTTTGCTTTGTCTGCCAATCTGGTCCTGGGAATTGATATTGCCCCATTTTCTTCTCGGGTTTCAGTTTCACATTTGAGACTGTCCTGTTTGAAAATGTTTTTCTCTTTTCTTTTATTTTAGGAGGAAAAATGTGAGAATATAAGAATTCTGTAAAACATTTCCCCTTAAAACAGGCTCGCCATCAAATCAAATCATAAACATGAGTTCAAAGAATATCAAAAGAATCAATAGCTCTTTACTGCTTTCAGAGTTAATGTTCTTTGACAAATATTCAAATGGATTAGTTGGTTTCAGGTTGGCTTCCTATTTTCTATGGTTTTGGCCACAGAAATGTCATTTCTTTCTCAGTCCTCTTGAACATCGCAACATGCACCTATTTCTTGGCTTGACATTTTAATTGGATGCGGACAAAATGACACGACTAGCATAATCAATTACTAGACCTTCTATTTCGATCCTCTGAAATCTTTCATTTGTTCAAGCTTTGTAAATTCCTCTAACAAAGGCAGTGCAAAAATATCGTTCTAAAAATGAATTTCTTGAGTGCTCGTGTGAAATTGACTATGACAGCTATTCCTTAACTCCCATAGTTCCTTATTTAATTTGCCATTGTCTAGCAAGCTGGATCTATAAAGTCGGAGCATTTAACCAATTTCTCTAGAAGGACAAATCAATATCGTTGTATTATAATCACCTTTATCAGGCTACCTGAATATTATCCATAAAGCCGGGGCGTTTAACCAATTGCTCTAGAGGGACAACTCGAGCTTTATTGTATATTATAATCACCTTTATCAGGCTAGTTGTATCTTATCCATAAAGCCGGGGCGTTTAACTAATTGCTTTAGAGGGACAACTCAAGCTTTATTGTATATTATAATCACCTTTATCAGGCTAGCTAAATCTTATACATAAAGTTGGGGCGTTTAACCAATTGCTTTAGAGGGACAGCTCAAGCTTTATTGTGTATATAATATTATAATCTGAGTACAGATCCAATTTCTTGAGTTTGCCAAGAATAGCCTGTTATAGTCTAGGTATTTTTGAAAGTCAAGAAATCTCATCCTTAGAGTTCAATTTTCAAGCAACTGGTCTGAATTAGATTCACATACTCGACTATTCTATATGTGAAGACCATTATCATCATCGAACATCTTACACAAAAAAGTATAGTAATGTCATATGCAAAAGCTACCCCATGTTGTCTGCACCTATGCACATCTAAATGCCAAGCCTCTTTTTCATTCCTTTTATGAGAGGAGAAGGCTATATTGGTTACAAGAGAAGGGTATAGTGTTTGAGCGTATCTTTTGGGTAAGGTCAAAGTCCTTGTTTTACCACTTTTAAATCATGTTGCTTTATCAAAGATCTGTAACTCTGAATCACTTACAGAATTTTATAATTCAGTTGATATTCAAAGAATTGCAAGTTTGCAAATTTGATTCGTTGCTCGTCATCTTTAAAGTAACATAAATGTCCTTATAAAAACTTGAGAAAAAAATGAAAAAATTAAATTCAAACAAAATGCCTCAAATGATGAAATGATCTTCCTCACTTGGATGCCCCCAAGTTGTTGAAGTCAATCCAGTTCTGGTTATGCATATTCTGAACGATTCTCTTGAATGCATAACAGTTCTCAATAGTGTGCTCTGGGACACCGCCGTGATATTCACAATGAGCATTCTCATCATACCACTTGGGGTATGGGGGCTTCATGGGTTCCACCGGATATGGTGACACTACGTGGGTGTGGAGAAGTTGCTGGTAAAGCTCTTTATAGGTCATGGGAATAGGGTCGAAATGTTCCCTTTCCCTCATAGGTTCTCTGGAATCTTGTTTAGAAGTACCTGATGGTACAGCTGCAGTTGATTTTGGGTTGGAGATTGTAGCGCCTGTAATGACGTGGTTGATGTTGTTAATTTCTCCATCCCTGTCCCTCATAGGAGGTTTCTTACTAGCTTCCTCATCCTTAATCTTGCCTTGTTTTATGGTCGACTCAATCATTTCTCCGGCCATAACTAAGTCTGAGAAGCTTCCTGATGTGATTGTAATCATGTGTCCGAAGTATGGAGCCTTCAGGGTCTGTACAAAAAGCTTCCGGGTTTCTTTCTCATCAAAGGGCAGATGAGCTTGTACAGCCAAATCCCTCTATTTTTGTGCGTATTTCCTGAAACTCTCGTTATGTTTCTTTTTTATGCTTTGTAGCATAACTCAATCTGGCCTCATGTCGTTGACATGCTTTTATTGTTCCAGAAATAACTTGGCTAAATCATTCTAAGTCTTGATATGGGATCGGTTTAGCTGGTTGTACCACCGGATGGCTGAGCCTGACAGACTCTCCTGGAAGCAGTGGATCAGGAGTTGGTCGTTTCCTCCATATCATGTTATCTTTCGGCAGAATATGGTGATGTGAGCGGATGTGCAACTGTTCCCGTCAAACTTCTCGAATTCCGGGGACTTGAATTTCAGAGGAAGAACCAAGTTTGGGACTAAACTGAGTTATGCGGCATCAAATCCATGATAGTCATGGTCTCATTTAACTACCTTCATTTGGTCTTCTAATTGCTTGATTTTCTCCTTCATATTCTTTACTTTGTTATCTTCGTCCAAATCCGATATAAGGTAATAACCTAGATTGTTTTTAGGGTTAGATACAACAGTCTATATCTTTGCAGTAGATGGTGTCTTTGCTTTTGCAGTGGATAGGTCCCCTTGAAGTTCGGGTAAGATTCTAGGTGTGATAACCACTTGTGGGGTAGGTGATATAGTTACCCCTTCTGATGAACCTACCCAGGTGCACTCGCTTGATATAGACCAGATAACTTGGCCACAATTTGATCGATCAATGACTCTTGGCTTTTCATGATTGTAGCCATAATACTTAGATTGTTCTGGTTTATCTTGTCTTCCAACTCTCTCTGGAGCTTCAACATGTTCTCCTCGATCTAAGTGATTCTTGCTTCTATCTTCTTCTTTTTCAAGCGGGTGTTATGCGGATGGGGTGTGTCCAATGCTTGAGGTGGTGTATCCAGTATTTGTTCCCTTTTATTGAGAAATTCTTCTATTAGTTAATGCGAATATAAAGAAATGAAAATAACAAAATGCAAAATATGTTTAAATGCATAATGCATGCAATGTTCGAGGTATTGATCCAAAAATGTGTCTGTTATTATAAATAATCCTCATTGTGGACAAAAGTTTTACGTCTTAAAAGAAAAAAAATATTTTGATGGTATAGATCCCGAACAGCCTCCGATAAGTTGATTCGTCTTTCGTCTTTTTTCTGTCACCGGTTGAATACACTATCGAATCGTTCTTGCTCATTTGACTAAACTGTGTAAGTGACGAGCTCCTTGCCCCAAAAAGTCTCGAATGACTGCATCTCCGGCTTTCACTCTTTGCTGAGCCTGTTCCTAATGAAAGCACCGTTGGAGCCCTCCATTAATAGGAATTATCCGAAGCTTGCTTCTTGAATTTGTCAACAATGGCCTCCAGTTTCAACTATCGCTTTGTCATATTGTTCTTGTTGTCTTTGAAGGGACTCTCCAGGTCAGTAATCTTGCCCCTGCAACCTTTACCAGTTCAAAAAGTTGACTTTTGGTGGGTACAATGTAAATCCCGGTCCATCCTGAGTATTCTCTGACCATAGCTAGACTTCTGAGCTTTTCATCTCTTGTATTATAACCCCTTTTTCCATTAATACGAATTATTTACGCTTAACGAACACGTTTTTGGTGGATCACCTCTTTTAATGATGCAAATGACAAAAAATGAAAGAGCACAAAAATGAAAAAGAATTAGTGAGGTAAATCAAAACAACAATGAAAATAAAAAATCCTATCACACATGATATCTACCCACATGCTTTAATTCCTACCCGAACATGATCTCTATCTCGCAAGTTGATTTTGAACAAGTCCTAACCGCATAAATTTCTAGTTCACATGCTTTGAACATATAATAAGGTAGGAAATGAACTCAAAATAACCTAGGGTTTGAAATGAGGTTTCAGGGTGGGCTCTAATTCCCTG